GCATTGTGTGTAACAGCATTGGACCAAAGAAAAGACCAATAAGTTGTGAGTTCTTCTTCTGTTGGTGTGCCACTGTGCTGTGTATCAGTGTTTGTTTTGGTACTGATTTGTCTGTAGAAAAGTTTTTCGTTGTTTGTGAACAATTTATTTTGTTGTTTTCGTAGTGTACATGTTTTGTATCGTTTGAGTCTACATGCTTTGGCTGCGAGTTTTTGTTTTAGTGTATCGACGTATTCTGTAATGTGTGTGTTGCGATGTTCATGTTTTGTGTGTGTTTTGATTTTCTTGAAAATGTTTTTGAGTTGTTTCTTTAACTTGGGTGTTATGTTGTTTTTAGCGTATTGTGTCAGCCTGCCTAATTGCTGTCTAATGTCATTTATTTGTGTTTCTATTCTTCTCTGCCAGGCAGGCTTGTGATAGAATTGTGTTTTGTGTGTGTCTGTCTGTCTGTGATTGTATTTTCAGTCCATGGTGTGTCACTACTGTGACTGCCCCAGCATAAACTAATGTATGAATGTCTGAGAGTGTAGAAATTGAATGAATGTAGTTTGGTAGTGAGTGAGTGTTTACATAATTTAATGTTTTTCCTACTTCCTTTGACATGTTGATTTTTGTATTCGTGGTCTTTGTGTGGGATCTGTACCAGTATATTTAGTGAATGTTTCCTGAAATATAAGTGAGAGTGTATTAACTAATTCTATGTTTATGTTATCAATGATAGATGAGGAAGTGCCTGTAATATCATTAGTTGTAGTTATTGTATGTGTGTTATTATCAATGCTTGTTGCTGGATTATCCTGACAGGTTAGAAACATTTAACATTATTAATGAAGATCACCGTCTGTTGATGTATTTGATCAGCAACCTGTTGTTTGATAAGTTCAAGTGTTGTTTGCGGGATAAGGTTGTTGTGTATAATTGTTCTTTTTTGATTGACAACCCTTTGTTCGGTGACAGGGAGGTGAGGATGTTGTTGTATGTATGCTGTCATGTTTGTTTCGAGTCTTGTGATGGTGTAGTAAGTATGAATGATAAACTCGTTCATTTCTGTTGTCCATTTCATCCGTTGGCATGGTTTTCCAGCCTTTGTGGTCTGTGGATGCATTGCCACACCAAGGCTAGGTTGATTCCTCACATCTGTTGAGGGTATTGCAGTAGCCATGCTTGGGCCGGCGCTGCTTTCGCCACCGGTAACCAAGGGAGACTGTGGCCTATTTTTTGAATGTGAGCCTCTGCCTAACCCACGAATGCGGACCTTGTTAACTCAGGCGACGTCCGAGCCAGTATCACACTTTGATCTGGTTACTACCATGATAAATAAGAATGTGGGTGGTCACTCTTAGCTTCATTTCTCCCCATAGACCTTACGGCATGGGAGTCCCTACCAGGAGCTTGTGCTCCAGCCTGCATTGCCCTATGAATCAGTAAAATTACTGGGCTCTCCCACCACGGCCAGGTGGGAGAGCCCAGTAATTTTACACCCACCACGGGAGAGTTATTATTACTGTTATTTCTACATTGTTTTGACTTTATCCAAATAAATAATTTCCTCAGTTAACTAAAAAGTATTAAGTTGTGTCCTCAATGTTTAAGGCTTTATAAAGTGCATCATAGGAATTTGAAAAGCTTTTATTTTGTTAATTGAAGACAAAGTTTTTAAAATTTCGATATAGCTCGGCTGAGATTTAAGTCACTGTTACACTGTCACTATGTAAACAATTCTCAAATACTTTGCTCTGTTTCTTTAATCTTAATGCTTAAAGTCTTTATTTGAAAACAAGAATTACACTAGTAATGGAACAGTGCACTTACTTTAGCTTGTCATATCAAGCCATTTAACATTAATCAGCAACAGATGTTACATGGATTTTAATACTTTGTACTATGTCGACAATAAATGATTTTCTACGTAAGAAGCGAATATAAACTGAGGTGTATAAGCTGGAAAACCTTTGTTCCTGATCCATTGATAAGCTTGGTACTAAGTTGTTTTATTGTAAGACAAGAAATGAAAAACAGACATTCTCATGACAATTTTTGGGTAATTTGGATGATTTTAGAAATATTCATTTTAAATTTTTTAGGAAGATATTAAAGTTCCTCATAAAGATAGAAAACTTTATGCAGCTCACGATCAGAATCTGCGCAGATTCCAACATACCAAGGCCTTGGACATAGCTTTAAAGGTAAACATATTCTGAAAATAATTTTTACCGAGTAGAATGATTTTACATTTCTTAAATTTTCAGTCTAAAAAACCCGAAGTCGTAGCAAGCATATTGAGTGAACTGATGAGGAGAAATCGTCTAAAAGCAGCTCTTGTCGGAAGAGATGAAAAATCTATTAATCCGCTAATGAAATATCTTGTAAGGTAGGAAATTTTACATAAAAGCATAATCTATACATAAAAGCAAAGTTGGGTGCAGCTGGGATACTTCCTAAGGTCCACAAACTTTAAATGTTAACATAATTTTGGCCATGGGTTATTTGTAAAGGGAGGGCCCTGGTTTGATGATTTTAATACAAATACGAAAGAATTTGCCCATTAAAAATGAACATTTCAAATATAACTTTTGTAATGTCTTAGTGGCTAAGGGATTGGAGCTGGATGTCAAGTGCCAATGTGCTAAAAAGTCCTTTTAGTACTTAAGGCAGAGTTTCTAAGTACTTTTATGCATGAGTCATATGTAAATTGATCTAAAGGTGGGATACAACAGTTGCATACTAGAAGATTCTTTATTTTAAAAATATTAAATGATTTTTTAGGGTTAAGAATCACATCTGAACTTATAAAATATAAATTGACACCTTTACTGCATCAGCCAGCTGGTTTCTAAGTGAAGATTTTCTTGTATGCCAAGTGGAATGGTCTCTCTTGATTTTGGTCTATAACAAATGATTGTGTGTCCAAAATAAAAGTCCATTTAGATCTACTTAAATGTGAGTTAGCAGGGGGCCACTGGGATGATCCCTAATGACCACTTAATCTGCATGGGTTGGCGAAACCCGCTCTCAGTTTGTCGGATGGCTTAGGAGGGCAAATCGAGTGGGGAGAGGTGAGGTTGTGACGAAGTGTCCAAATAACTATATGGGTTGACCAATACTAATACATTTAATAAACAATTAAGAGATTATACATATCAAAAGAAAAAGCATAAACAACACACGCGTAAATAATAAAAGGAATCTATTCTATATCTATGTTCTAACCTAAACTAAAGATCAAGAGAGACCTCTTTAAAAGGGATGCGCGGGAGAGAGGGACAAAATTTGGGAAAGGATATTCTTCATAGGATTCGATCTCTTCACATAGGGCGTTGGTAGGATGCACTGGGATCAGCGGTTTATAATCGAAGTTTCCTTGGATGGCGGTATGGAACTAATGTTCCTGGATGTCTGCTCGGCTATGTCCGTTGAGGATGTTGCTTCGGCTGTCTGCTCGGAGGGGCTACTTCTGTGGACTTCTCTTCGGTTGTCCGCCTGGAGGTGCAAATTTGACCCCTTTTTATACTTGTCTTCCCCCCATGATTCCCCTCCAAGATATCTGATGCAATCACCAGCTTGACTTGCGTACAGCTGTGTTTATGTTATCGTCATCCTTTTCTTCCAATAGTTGACATCTTCCGATCATAAAATTGTCAAACTCCCTGATTTATTGACGTGAGGTGACTTAACGTCTGACTACATCTTACCCCTTAAAAATCATTGCCTTATTTGGGCATTTAGATTGACTTTCTCATTGGGTCGCTCGGACTTAGAGGGGAGTATGGGATATTGTTTTAGCTTTGTCGGTGACTCTCTATACCTTATATCTTCGTGAAACTTGAACAATCCCTTGGTGAGAGGGGAGTCCTTCTTTGGACGATTAAGGTCATCTTCGATGTGACACAGTACACAAAGTGTGAAAATTCACACTTATATCCAAATTCTCACATAAATATATTTAATCCACCTAAGTTCATTTTTATTTTGTACATAATGCTTTGGAGTGCCCACTTTAACATCAAAACTGTCCCAGTTCCAAGTGCCCTCCTCCTCATTTTGTTCTTTTTGCTATTGTCTTTTTTAACCCCAACAGCTTGTTCTCATTTTTATCTTGATTTTACCCTCTTACACTATGCTAGCTTATGAGGAAATGGGCTTACAACTATCTTCTGCTTCTGAAAGGAAAGTACAGTAGAGCGTCGATTTTCTGAATCAATTGGGGACTGGGGTTGTTCGTATAACTGATATTTCGGATAACCAATTTATATACGAAAAAATAGTTTAACGTATCCGATGTTAAAATTTTTATCCATTGCGTGTCGCTTTGCGTTGAATTTTCATCGATGTTAAGCCTAACAAAGACTATTGTATCATTAAAAATTATTTTTTTATTTTGTACAAACAAAATAAATATATTGAAAAATATAAAAATAATAAAAAATTATACTTCAGATGTTAATTTAGTATCAAAAACGTAAAATATTTGAGTAGCCCAAGACATAGCCAAAGATTGAAGCGCCACAGCACTGGCGAAAATTTAAATTTGCCGACTGGAATTCTTGGAAAATCGACGCTCTACTGTAATATCATAGATGCTCAAAGACATTTCCAAGAAGAATCACTACTATGGAAGTAACAAATTAAACCAGTCTGGCTTGTTCCTGACAGTTTTAGTAAAGTCCAGGAATTTTTCATGGGAATTCCAGCCCATCCTTTTTACACTAGGACTCTGAATTATCTCACTATAAAAGAGCTTATCAAATAAGCTAAGCAATAGGTTAAAATAAAGAGTTGCAGGTTGCGAATCCATGGTACACATTCACCATAAAGGATCATCATTCTTTATTTTGCTGTTCCAAATTAGAATTTTCAATGATATATATACACACAAGATGTCTTATTCACATATTTGAGTTTTTAGTTTCATCATTCTCACCTGGCGTGATGGACAAGAAAATAATTCAGAGCAAAACTTTCCGTGAAAACTGAATTTTTCTAAATTTTATCACTAACATTACTCACAAAGTGGTTCCGATTCTTAAAAAAACCATTACAGGAAGCATGAAAGCTTGTCATAAATTGAGATTCAAGAATGTAATTTGTACAGACACAACCAACTAAAATATTATTTTGATACATTTCAACAATAATAAACTTTGTAAATTTCATCCTTTATTTTTATTAACCAATTTTGTATTAAATTGCACTAAGCATTATTGATATTCAAGGAATATTAGTATGAGGGTCATTCTAAAAGTAAAGAACGTTTGTTTCTCTAGATATTTTTATTTAAGGTAATGAAACAAAACTTATTTTACAACACATATGATACCTTAGCTATATTTCTACATAGTCGCCATACAAATTTAAACATTTGTCATAGTGTATCATCGGCTTTTCTATGCCTTCTGCAAACTCAATGACTGGTTCAAGAACTTGGCGGTAACTAACGGCCTCTTTCAGTTCATTGTCACTTCCATAGTGATTCCCGGCTAAAAAATCCTTCAATTTTGGGAAAAGATGTAATCACTCGGAGTCTAGTCTGGGCTATAAGAAGGATGTTCAAAAACTTCCCACTTAAACTGCTGAAGCAAGTTCTTTGTCAACGCTGCAGCATGCAGATGTGCATTATCCTGAAGAAGCACAATAGAGAGGTTGCGGCCAATGTTTTCATCGTGAAAACATGTACATCAGACATTCGGTAAGACCATCTTCCTGTAAGCCTAAAAGTTAGAAAATGGTGTTTGGAACGAACATAATTCCACTGATGTTCCAAATGCCATTGTCAAAACTTCTAGGCTTACAGGAAGATGGCACTGAAGTCCGACGTACATGTTTTTGCGATGAAAACGTCTGCCGCAACCTCTCTAATGCCTCTGGACAACAATCCACACAGTTTGTTTCAAATTGAAGCTTCATTCATCACATTGCCATATTTATACTACGAACCTCACACTTGGCAGGATCTTTAATTTTGTCACATATTTCAAAGTCACACTGTAAACAGTAAACAATCGTTGTGGCTCTCTGTTAGCAGCAGTGGAGTGTGGTGTGAGAACTGTACGGCTTGTCACATCAAAATGTTCTCTTCTTTTAGAATGACCCTCATACATTAGCAAAATTTCTGTAGCCAGGATATTTTCCTAGTTGTACAGAACAGTCCAGATATATAAATCCTCAAGCACAAATCCAACAAATTTACAGCTAATTATAGGCAATTATTTATTGTGATATCATCACAATGCCAGCATGAAATTTTTAATCATATTTATTTTAATTTAAAAAAAATCCAGTCCAGACTGGAAGTTACTTGACGTTCATATATAATTAAATTGGGGTCTTCAACCCATAAGCTTTCCATATCTGGTCTCTTAATATCAAACAGAGACCAGACAGACAACAGTGGGAGTGTATAGGTCTGTAATTTGAACATTTTGGCCCAATAGAGCAGAGATGTACTATAGTGGGTTTTTGCAAACCCACTATAGTACCATATTTTTAGGACACAAGTTTCATAATTAGAGATCTGCTAATGTCTTACCACTAAATCACAAAATATTTGCTGTGTAATAGCTGACAAGGATTAAATGTTTTATGCACAGAGGTAAGGTTCTGTAGTTAATTTAACTTGATATCCTTTTGATGGTTGGAATCCTAAGCCATGTTAGAATGTGGTTAAGAAAAGAGGATTCAGAAAAATAAACATACAGTAAGACCTTTCTTGATTAACACTGATTTGATATAATGTGGTCTGCTCGAAACCAGGGAAACTCAAAATTTACACCAATTCAAATTATTGTGGCATTTTGTTGATTCATATATAATATGATTATTCCCAAACACAAACCAATTGGCAAAAGGTGGCAATTTATTGTAGCACTGAACTTTCCCTAAATATATGTTTGTCTGGTGCAATTTTGGAAAAAATATATCATTATGGATGCCATGGGCAATATCAACTTCTCTTGGCCAGAATTAACTGATAAATGCATGGAATGTGGAAGATCGTATGGCTGGAGGTATCCAAGGATTTTCAATGAGAATGAGTCTATAGTTGACCAAATTGTCAACACAATCAATACAGCAGGACTAGGAGATATTGAGGAGTCTGCATGTTTCTGGTGAGTGTTTTACCAACAACGACCTTCAAGAACTGGCAGAACAAGGAATTCATGTAGAACTGGAAAATAGAGATTCTGAATGAAGAACCCAAAGAACTTGCTACAGATTTCCTTAGTAAAAGTTTGGTGAGGATAACTGAAGCAAATGATCCAGATTATGAAAGGAGTGCAAAAGCAAGACAAGGCATTTTGGATGTGATCTCCTGCTACTGACATTTGCCAAACGACAGAAAAAGAAAGCAACAAATGACACTAGACAACTTCATTGCAAAAGAAATCAAGAGTTTCAGAGAGCTGGGACCTTCATCACAAAAATTAACTGAATATTTTTGTGTGCATATGTTGTTATGCAAATTAATATAAAAATAACACAATGTTACATAACTTAAAAGTTATTTTTGGTCACATGTTCCACTTTCCCTATTTACTATATGTTAAAATGATTTAATTTAGCGATTTGTCTGGGAATGCATAAGCACTAAATCAAAGGTTACACCTAAACGCGGTCTTAACTGTAGTTAAGACCTTGTTTAGGTGTAACCTTTGATAACTTTAGTTTCATTAATGAATCGAATTAGGGAAAATTAAATTCTGACTTAAGTTGGCATAGCATATGACTAATAAGTTACATAAAATAACAACTCAGTTTGGTTCATAAAAATTATATATAAAAAATTTAGAAGAAATAAATAACTAATTTTTTGGTAGGTTTTCTGTATGTTTTTTCAAAGACAATTTACATTGTTTTGAAATCTGACAGCATCTAAATTATCCTGCCAAAACTGCAGAATAATTTTTGTAATAGAAACTTAACGTCTAAATGCGTTCACTACTAAGGCATTTTTCACAACAAACATGACACAAGTCAAGTCAAAAGTGATCACTGCATATAAACGGATGGGATGCAACAGTGACCAAAAAGGTTCTATCATTACTTTTTATTTTGATTATTAGCAAGTTGAGAATAAAATAAAATATGTTAAGCTTATTTTTCATTTGTATTAATGTGAAGTGTAGATGCAATGAAAATCTATTAATGGTAATTCAAAATATTTGTCCTAATGTCAACAGTGATCTGGTAGCTTGTGTCTGATTTGAGCACAGATGAGCAATAGCTCAAAATACTTTATACAGTGGAACCTCGGTTAACGAACTTAATTCGTTCCGCGACTCCATTCGTAAACCGAAGCAATTTTTCCCATAGAAATTAATGCAAATGCAATTAATCCGTTCTAGTCTCCGAAATTTTTGTGATTTTATTTGTAATATACAGCAATTTTCTTTGATGAAAATGTAAGAAAACGTAGTATGTATCATTACAGCAACAAACATGTAAACTTTGTTTAATAAACTAGCACTGTACATACCTTCGTTTGTTGTAGGTGGTGGCAGAAAAGTGGAGATATACGAACCTTAATGCTTAGAAGGGAAATCCACTCCAAAAAATAACGGGTAGCACTTCATTGGAAGATTCTTCGAGTCGAAGTCTCTTTCGGTAAAAAAAACCCACCAGTGGGCTAAGTGGTCTTCGTACCTTAAACACGGGGAGTTCGTTCGTGGGTTTGCACCTCGCTCAGACGGGCTGGCCATGTGGAGTTTTCCGGGTTTTCTCCACGTCTAACGCCTAAATAGGTTCCCTTAAAAACACCTCCCAGAAGGCATTCCCCTAGGCAGATCGCCCAAGTGTTGCGTTGCCATAACTTAAACAAACAAACAAACTCTTTCCGTAAGGAACAAGAAATTGATGTAAAGTTGATTGTCTTACTATTTTAATCAAAATTTTTCTCAAATGCGATAGCGCATTGTCGTTTTCTATTGCCACTATGACTTTTTTCTTTCTTGGATGCCATATTGATTAAATATATAAATCACAAAACTGAAAAAAGAAGCATAGCACAAACACTCGGAAAAGCAATGCTTAACTCGCGCATGCCTAACACCAACTAAAATTTGACACAAAATACCTTTACGTTCGTTATCCAAGACAAATTTTTTGCAAAATAAAAGTTTGTTAACCAATTTGGTCGTTAACCAGGACGTTCGTTAACCGGGGTTCCACTGTACAATCTTCATAATGTTGTCCATAAATGTTTCTTCACATCTAAGAAAAATTTGTCATTGATTGATTGAATTTGGAAGTTTTGGTTTCTCATGTGATGAAAGTTTCCAATGTGGAATTTGCATATTAATCTTCAGGATTTATGATGTATAAAAGAATAATTATGTAGAGCTATTTACTCATTGTTTCATTGTGAAAAATTTAACAATTTGCATGGGTCAACTTTGTTGTGGATTCTACATAAAATACAAGAATTGAGACAATACTACTTTCTTTAATAAGTAAAAAATACTATTTCAATAAAGGTACTTTACAACACAATTTTTATTTTTAGGTATATCGGAGATCCAAGATTTTCCCGTATACTTCTTGACGTTGCCATCATGTTCGTCGGTAAGTACTTTACATACCAAACTTGTTTTTAACACAATTAATACAAATATAACTTGCAATATTTTCTTAGATATATACTCCACAAACATAAATGAACACGTCGAACTGGTCAATCAGTTTAACAAACTGAAAACAGTCGTAGACAAAGAAGTATCTTACATTGAAGAAACAATGGAAGTTTTAGGGGCTATTAATTGTATTATAAATAATAGCAAACAGTTTGTATCTTAATTGGGTATGTAATTTGTGATTATTACAGTAGAAATTTTAAATTTTTTGTATTAAAATATATTTTATCATTGGATAGTATATAAGTTTAAAAAATTTGACACTTGTTTCACTGTTGGTTTTATTCTGTAATGAAATAATCTGTCCTTTAACATGTTTTATACATATTTGATCAACGTCCACGTGAAAAAGGTGATTAAGTACTCTTCAGATATAGAGGAATGATGAATTTTGAACCAAACGGAGAAGTATAATTCACTCCCACCTTTTTAAACACTTCCTTTGGCAAACCAATGTCGCACAGATAAAGACTGCAGTGATCATTAAATGCAAATGGCATGATTGAAACCAACATCCATTTTGGTTCCAGACAACTACCTTCGGGGGGGCAATCTAAACAGAGAACTGGTGCCTTGCACTGTAAAGCCCACTGGACGGCAGCAGAATACCAAAAATGTTCCGATGGAGGAGGCCTCTCATATCCGTCCAGAGCACCAATGATTATGTCTACAGTGGAGGGCATGTCTATAAATAAAAATTTTAATTTAAAAACTTCATTTAAAGAATAATTAAAATTATAAAGATCATATCAGACCTAACACTGAAGAAGTCTTCTTTCCATTAGTTAAAGCAAACAATGTCAATTCCTTAGAAAAGCATTCATTTTTTGATGATGTGGGAGGAACCAAGACAGTTACATTGACACCATGGTTGGCTAAATGCCTTCCGCAATTAATTCCTTGTGCTCCCTGTGTATGTAATCCACAAAGGATTACTACTGTCGGCCTTTGGTGAGAATTTTGTGGACTCAACCTGAATTTTTTTTATGAAGTATACTGTAAGTCATGTATAATGAAGTGAAATTAATCAATGAAAGAAGATTTAGTGTACCTGTGACTACCACCCAGTAATTGAAGTACCATTTCTGTAGTTGCTCGCCCAACCATTTCAAGTCGTCTTTCTATGGCAAGACCAAATTCTTCTGCCACTTTCAGTAATTTTTCTTTCAATTCTTTACTAATACTTGGTATAACTAAACCCGTATCTGAAATTCAAACTGTATTAATGGACGTAAATGTGAAAAAACAAAGATGAAAAATGAATTTACCTGTAACAAATATCCTGTCTACATTACAAGGAACAGAAATCTGATTAGACACAAAAGTTTCTCCCTCTAGGACATTTTCATCACACCTATATCTTTGTTCTCGTCTATTACAGTCTACAAGACGTACAGAATCTCCTTTGGTGTGGGCATTAATTTCATCAAATATTGCTTGCTTATCAAAAAGTGCTAAGTTTTTTTCAAAATCAAAATCATTTTCTAAAATGGAATTATCGATTGGAACATTGAAACACTCTTCGTCTCTTTCCATGTACCATTTTCTATTTTCATTCTTTTTTGGAGTGGAGACTTTCTTTCTTGCTTCGCCTTTAAAATTAAATTATTATAATTATTTGGATTTGAATGAAAAATAAAATATAATAATAATACTTTTCTCTACCTGACTTTTTTCTCAAAGCATCATCAGATTTCACAGGAGATTCTCTGCACTTATTTGTCAGAGATTCTGGTGCAACGAAGGCAGAACTTTTGGACTGTTGTACTGCAGCACCCTTCCATTTTTCTTCGGCAGCTTTCAAAATTTTTATTCCACGTATATCTCTAGCACTTTAAGAATATCTTATTTTAGAATCAGAATGAATAATATTGAATTTAAGACATTACATTTCTTTAATAATGTTTTGGTCTTTAACAGTTTTGACAATTATTTAAGTATGGTTATATAGATGATGTTTATATTTAAATATGAGAATAGTCAAACAGTACAAAAATATCACAATTGAAAACACTAAACCTATAAATCAGCAAATTTGTACAATAAATGCAAACGTTTTTGCAACGTCATTGAGAAAGATAAAGAGCTCCTTACAATCACCCAATACGCAACTCAGCACAGCTACTCGTCACATACTATTAAAGGCCTTATACATCATCTTTCCTCCACCACTTCCATCTTGCAGATAAATTGCACCCAGGACACAGGCTATAGGACCATCACTTATGACAGGAAGCTAGCCATCCTTTATAAGGAAATATCCAGGAGAAATAACTTCGCTTAGCATTCCGCAGAATCCCTCAATTTCCTTCCTCCTCTGCAATGCTAATGGCCATCTGGGCATGTACACTAGCCCGATCATAGATCCAGCCACCACTTATCCTCCTCTGTTTCTCTTGTCTTATGTCACCTCCCTTCTACACATGTATTTGGCAATCCCGTTTGTTTCAGCTTTTAACGATTAGTTTGCCTGATGATGCCCATTCAACACGGGCACTTGTTATAAAAATTGCTGGTTTATAGGTTTAGTGTTTTTGATTCTAATTTAACCAGTTTTAAGTGGCAGTTTTCTTCTAAAAATATCATACCTTATTAACTGCTTAAACACAATTTTGCATGTTTACATTAGATTATTCAAAGTAAATATTTTAATAATAATAATATTATTATTAAAATATTTACTTTGAATATTATTATTAATACAAAAGCAAACATTTATTACATTGTTAATTAGATTGCTTTATCAAATTTTTGAATAATTATCAACATTCATTCAAAATATAAAGTTGATAATTTATGACTGACTTAAAATATTTACTAAAGTTTCAAATTATATACAGTAAATTTTTAATGAAAATGATGACATTTATTTGAGTCTTATACTAGCTGTTGTCATCTTAGAATTAAAGATGCCAAATGATGTTTTTAATAATTTGATTTGTATGAACATTATTGAGCTAGTAGATAACTCATTAACATATGGAGTTTAAATAAAATGTATACCAAGTGATATACATTTTATTAAACTTCTCTAGTCAATATGTAAATAAAATACAGTAGAGCATCGATTATCCGACCCCTGATTAACCGTCACATCGGTTAACCAACCGTTCTAGTCGGCAAATTTCAAATGTCCGCTAGTGATGTGGCGCTACAATATTTGGGTATGTCTTGGCTACTTTAATATTATTTTTGTTATATTTTTGTGTGTTTTAGCTATCAACACTGGCTCGACCATGAAAGGGAGGCCAGTATTTAAACTAGATTTAATTTTCTAATTATGAATGGTTGTTGTTTTGTGAGCAATAAAAGATTTTAAAAATTTTTTTAACGATACAATGGCTACAATTATTATTTTTAAAAAAAATTTGTTAGGCTTAACATCGATGAAAATTCAATGTGAAGTATGTTAATAGCGATATACTAATTACATGGGATATACTAATATGCTAATATACACTCACTGCCAAAAGTTAAGCACAGAGAAGAAAATGTTCATGTCTGTAAAGCAATCTGCATTTGAGAGGCTGCAATTCACTGCAGAGGTGGGTGGNGCATGGTTACACGCTGTAAACTTTGTGTAAGGATAAGGGGTGACCATTTACCCTATTAATGTTGGTTTTGTTTGTTTGTTTTGGATTTAAACATCGTTTTGTTAATGATTCCAATATGATTTCATCTTATACTTCATGAAAATTCAGTATTGTTTTCATTTTTTTTATGTAATTCTTTGTGTTGTTTTATGCATAAACATATTTGCTACTGTCCTGCCACATGTTGTGTCAATCACAGCTATATTTGTCGATTTTTTTGCAGTTTATCGCTCCGTGCTTAACTTTTGGCAGTGAGTGTACTATACTAATAATGTATTTTTTCATTCTTTTCGATTATCCAATTTTTTCAGTTATCAGACCAACCCGAGTCCCCAATTGAGTCAGATAATCGATGCTCTACTGTACTAACATACACACTTACTTAATTGTAATTTCAGGTGTCACATATTCTGCTCCATTTTTGACTACTTCTATTAAAGTCAGAGTTTGATTTGATGCATCAACACTTGAAACCAATCCTTCTATGGTACCCAGAGTGCATTCCACAGATAGCGTACAACCTCTCCATCGTTCCGTCATTATGACCGCTGCAATAGAAATATGATTACAAATGAATGATAGTATAATATAAATAGTCATAGATATACAGGGTGGTGTGCAAAAAACAGCCTCGGTCTAGTTCGAATTTCAGGTGTTAGTGTATCACATGGGGTGAGCAAACCACATCAGTTGAGTGAATATTGGAACATTCAAAGAGTAAGTGTCTGAAACAAATCCACACCAAGGGACATTATCAGCCAAGCAATCACAGCCAATAATATCACTATATTATACCAGATGTTCCTAAACGTGATTTGACATGTGCAGCTGTGTATAGATGTGTCCACTATCACCATCATCATCAATGACAGGTGATACATAAAGAAGCCAACTGTTGACATTAGCTTAGTGGAAACAGAGTAATACAGTATAGACCAGGGATATTTTTAATGCATTACACAGTATCAATTTGTGTTACTTATCATATTACTTGTTATGTCTACAGTTACAATTCAAGTGACTTATCATAAAAAGGTAACACGAATTGACACTTGCTACTCTGGAGTTACCTAAAATCATCATTGGATGATAGTTCCATATTTTATTTAAATTTTTATATTCATGAAGACTTTAACTAGTTATTCATTCTAATATAATCTGCTTTTTATTTAAAATTTTATTACATCTCATATAGGATCAGCTTTTACTTTGAGCACATATTTAATAATTGCTACTGTCAGAAAAAATAATTATGAATAAATATATTTGATTAATTAGTAATAACAGTTTATTTCATTATTTCTATTTTAAAAGTAATATATTTTACAGGTCAAGAAGAGAAGCCTTTGTACAGTTTATAGATTTGCTTAATTCTGATAAAGAAAATAAATGTACAAATCTATTTATTAAAATAAGGAATTGATTCCTATGTTTTTTATTATTATTAAAATATTCACTATTTAAAGAAACAGATCTGTTTCTATCCTTTTGTAATCTACTTGTGAAATAACAAACATTAATTATAATCATCAGCAGACAATTTTATAACTAAGGATAGTTTTGAATACATCATATAGTGAAGTTACTGCTTTATAACCTCTTGCTTTTTACAAACAATATAAATTTTCTGTTATTTATGACTATGAAATATCACCTGAAAAGTACACCAAAACAATGTAAAAAAAAAAATTGGACAAAACAATCTGGAAAAAGAACACACATGATTCTATTGTTGAATGAGCCAAGCAGTTTAAACTTAATTTGAGGTCACGTATAGCCCACTGTCAATAGGCAAATTTTGGCACAGCTGTTGAGGTAATGTTTTTTTGAAGAAATCTCATTTTCACAACTGAATGCAAGTGTAGTCTTACAAACAGGTTCAAGAATTGTTGCAACAATCACTTCATTTTTCACGATATTTTTCATTTATTATATTGTGTAAACAAACATTGGTAGTCATATTGTTAAATGATAACAGGTTAACATCTGCTATGACATATCATTTGGGCAATGGTGATGGTTTAACAGTTACGTAAATGGTCAAATGATAAAGCTTGCCTAATGAAGTGGCTACAGTGGGATCACAATGATTGATGACCAAATTCATTGTAAAAACCAATGAAAGTTCAGCAATGCCAGAAACAAGGGCTAATTTTTTTCAAGATGGCACAAATCTCACCACTGGAGCATGAAGATGACAACCAAAATATTGAGCAATGAAAGTGATTTGGCAGTTTTACACAAATGAATGCATTTATTGTAAAAGTGACAGCAAATAAAATCTGATCTTTACACATGACATAATGCAATGCTCATATTACATTACTTTCATCACACATTATTCCTCCAGTAAGAAAGCATTGATTTACTTAATCACTTGCATAACTTGATGCCTTATGCAACCAATGACCAAAAAAGTGTAGATGATCATAAGTTGGCTCTTGTTTGTGTTGCCAAATTAGGGTTTTTCATACTAAGGATAATATTTTAGCTATTCTGTTATTTTAATACAGCCTTAGTTTTTACCTTTTAGTATTACAGTAGAGCGTCGTTTATCTGAATCAATTGGGGAATGGGGTTGTTCGGATAACTTATTTTTTGGATAACTAATTATGTACGAAAAAATATATTAACCTATCCAGTGTTGAAATTTTTCTCCGTTGCGTATCGCTTTGCGTTGAATTTTCATCGATGTTAGCCTAAAGAAAACTTTTTAAAATAATAATCGTGGATATTGTATCGTTAAAAATTATTTTTTTATTTTGTACAAATAAAATAAATATATTGAAAAATATAAAAACCCCCCAAAAAAAAATATACTTTAGAAGTTGATCTACTATCAAAAATGTTCGATTCAACATGACACACAGTCCTCAGAAAAACATCACACAATAGTGCCAGTGCTGCCAGCTAAAACACACACCAACAAAAAAAATATTGGAGTAGCCCAAGATATAGCCAAAGATTGCAGTGCCACAGCACTAGCGAAAATTTAAATTTGCCGATTGGAATGCTTTCGGATAACCAACTTTCAGATAGATGCTCTACTGTACTTTATTCTAGAAAAACTAATACAAGCATTTATTTAAAGAAAGTTTAAAATAGCATTTTCATTTTGATCACAGTGTGATCTGTGTGCATAACATGAAAGTGCCCAGTAGCAAATCCCACTGTGCATCAACTCGGTCATTACAATGATAACCATGCAACAGAAAGCACAGTTTGTGCTGTGCTCAGTGTAAATCAGTTATAACATATGTCAAGATGCCTGTGGACAAGACCATAATTTGATGGTTTAAGCATTTAAAAAAAACTGGAAGTACACATTAAGAAATTACCAGGTTGACTATATTAGAAACGAATGTGGAGTTTATGAGGCAATTTGTGCAGCCTAAAGAAATCTATTACTCATTGCAGCTTGGTATTCCTAAAATTACTATACCATACTATAGCAACTACTGTGCCAGAAACAATCAAGTGAATCTGAGTTCAACAGTCATTCAGATGTTTGCCAAGCAATGAGGAGTACTTGCATTAAAATGTACTAAGTATAAAAAAAACAACTATTTTTCTGTATGTCATTTGATATATAATAAAATGCATTATTTAATCATGAATTTTGGACATCTTTTTCAATGACCATGTATTTATTATTATTAAATGAAGAATAATTATAACCAAAATTGCCATAATTTAAAATATGAAGCTAATTAATGATATCTTCAGCAATAGGTAGATGGCGCTAAAAATTAACTATCTGCATGGCTAGGCTTCTACTAGCATTAAGTTTAATCCTCGACACACACAACAAAACAAAGACAGGATTATGCTGTGTATTTTTTCTTTGAGATTTCTGATAGCATTCAACTTATACCATTTTATTTTTCTGTAAAAAGAGTATTCTATTCAAGCATTTATGTCAGTGAGGACATGACTTTAGCTACACATCAAAATAAAATGTTATTCTGTAAATTATCTACAAACTATAAACATAAACAATCTTTGTATCATATCAGTATAAAATTTTTTCAACAAAATTACAAAATTTTATCACGGGATAACATACTGTTTGAAATGAGTTTTGCCATCATTTGACCTATCAATTTTTTTACTTTTACATATAAAACTTTAGGGGAAAAAAATCAAGTTTTTTTATTAAGTTCAATCACTACATAGAATTCCTGTATAATTTATAAAAAAATTTCCATTGCTTTGCTTAATTTTTACTTTATTGGCAAAACATGCAAAATATTACTACAACTGTACTTTGTTATTAGATTTATCATCAGATATATTTAAATTAATTTAAAATTTGATAAAATATGTTTACAGAAAAGACGCATAAGAAAACAATGTGCCAATAAACTTCTCCAATTTTTCTTTTTTTTTTTTTAAGGTTTAAACCTTAAAAAAAAAATAGAAAAATTGGAGAGCTGAAAACTGAGTTTTCAGCTGAACATTACAATTATATTGTCAAAATTCCTAATTTATTATTAAGATAATTTGAACATTTCACTTTATCAGATGACATTTTTGAAAGGTAATATCATTAGTAAAGTACATATTACTGTTTTCATATATCAAATTATAAAAATGATTAACATTTTGAATAGCTTCCAAATGGATATGAGATACCACCAAGACAATACAAATATTCAATCTACAAATAAATCTTTCCTAATCTAAATTAAGGAACTTTGGCAGAGAAACTAGTTTTTAGATAAATATTTATTCAAGTTCTGCAAAACCATTATCACTTTCTAAATCATAAACAATATAATTTTCAATTAAATGTGACCAACTGCTATATGAATTTTTGATTAAGAATTTTTGTCTATAATATTAGATTCTGACCTTCATAAATTCATCTGTATACTTTATTACTAGAATATTTTGTTTAGCTTTGTGCATGAAATATATGAAATATTAAATAACTTATTTCTAAACAGATGAGTTTCCATATCAATACTGCCATTTGTAATCATAGAACTTTACCTTCCTAAATTTTTTAAATATGTATTATGCAAAACTAATTTCTTTTAATTATATGTTAATAAAGGCAGGTTTTTAATAGTAATAGCTGTAAATAAATTTTCTGGTGGAAAATTTGTAGTCATTTTTAAACTGCGACAAAGAATACATTGAGAAGACTGAAGGAAAAAAAAAAACAGACAAGATTGGGCCTGAAATTTATCTTTTACTAATTGAGATTCATAATGAACTTGACTTTTTACAAAGTAAAAGACAGATTAAAATCCAAAATAAAAACTGGAATAGATAACTTGTAATAAAATGAACACATTACAAACTTTTCCAGCAAAAGGAGTTTGCAGAACATTTTCAGTTTGAAATCTGAATCAGGTTTATAAAAGAAACTACAAAATTTGAAATTGCAAATTGGAATGTTTCAAACATTCAATGACATTATTTATAAATTTCTTTAAAATATTATATATATTTACATATACATAATTACATTTGAACAAGTATATTTTAAGGAAAAACTGTGTAAAAATAATAAAATTATAAAATAAAGTGAACAACAGGAATTCCACATGCCTACACATTTTTATATATAATTACTCTGTGGGATTATCAAAGAATGATCACCATGCATTAGATAGGGATTCCAAGTATGATTAATACAATTATTTTTCAATATGGTCTTAAAAATGCTGGAAACATTGGAAATATTCAAGCAATGTTCAATGTTGTAGAAATGAAGCAAAAATAATAAGAGTCTACAACGATCATCACCTAAGAATGCTGCAAACAAAGGTGACTGTGGATGGTTATCAATATAATGTGTGACATGTAGCCAAATGTCCTCTTGCAAAGTGCCTGGAAATGGTTTTGGCAAAAATAGAATTTTGTGATGAAGTGCCACCTTGTAGTGGGCAATTCTTCAAAATACCCATCCCACTTCTCTCAGTCCAATGATGCATCCCCTCTGAAAGTCTGTTAACTGGACAAAGTGTCTTCGACTACATCATAGAAGCACATCTAGCAGTATAAATAAACTCTCAATAAACAAACAAAAAGACATACACTAAAAAAGTAGCCTCTGAGAGCCTTTATCACGGTGGAATGGAAGTAAGAAAGCCTCTGTTGGCAAGACTCTACATCCAATCATACCAAAACCATAATCATTTACATATCTGCCCGAGCTAGAACTGCATTCCAAGTTTTGCATCAATCCAACAATTAAAATTAGATGATATAAATATTAACTAGCCAGTTCAAGCTGTTTTAGCTTGAAAAGCTCTTCTATATCTACAAATTTATTTATAATCAAGTCAGGCTAGAGAAAGCCAGCAGGTAATTTGGCCCAGACCCTTGATACAGAGACTCAAAATTTAATCTTTTGTGTTAAAAGGATATGATGTAATAGTAATGTGTAAATAAAGTTTCTTTC